TTTTTTTGAGAGGAAAAACTGATAAAGGGAATTGGGAAGGGGTCCTTTCGCTATGAGGCCCAAAGTCCTAAATCTGTCCATTTTCAAGTCACAGTTGACTATTTCCTATCGAACAAGCCATAATCAGAGAATATGACCCACGAGCCGCAAAGTGACTTGCCAGCAGCAACAGTGGTCTGTGTACCGTAAACACTTTGTGAAGCGCTTTCCAGACAGGCTATCGCTCCATCTTACAGATGAGAAAACAGAGGTGAGTGGCTCATGAGAAAAACAGCCAGAGATGGGGAAACGGGAGGGAGGTCATATGGCCCAAGATCGCAGGAGGAAATACGACCTCATGTGGGAAGCCCACATTAGGACAGATACTGTCAGTAAGGAAGGACTAGGGCAGGACTGACCGAGGCATGCGGGGAATGGTGGAAATGGCTGGGGATGTTTAACCTGCAGAAGAAAATACCAGAGAGAACGAGAAAGACGCATGCAGGTTCCCAGCGTGTGACCCCAGGAGGACCAAACAGAATGTGCAGGCAAAAGGAGACACCCCCCGCCGGCTGTAAGGGCCCTGATCAGCAGCACACATCAACAAAACACTGGCATCTGCGAACAGATCCATCCCTGAAATTACTTGGGCGTTCAGGTACCACCACCATTGTGTTGGCCACAGTCACAAACCACCCACATGTTATCAGTTTAATATTTTTCTTACACATTTTACTGAAATGAATTTAGCTTCACCCTATGTGATACGATCCAAAAAACCATGAGGTTCGCTGCTCTATGGTTTTTCCCTAATACATATTAAGACAGGTGACTATTAAAATGCATACTTGGGGCGCCTGGGTGGCTCAGTCGGTTGAGCGTCCGACTTCGGCTCAGGTCATGATCTCACGGTTCGTGAGTTCAGGCCCCGCGTCCGGCTCTGTGCTGACAGCTCGGAGCCTGGAGCCTGCTTCGGGTTCTGTGTCTCCCTCTCTCTCTGCCCCTCCCCCACTTGTGCTCTCTCTGCCTCTCAAAAATAAAGAAAACTAATATTTAAAAAAGTTTTTTAATAAATAAATAAATACTCATCAGGGTTGCATCTATAATCATCTCACGCACCAGGAGTCACAGGACACCATGTTTAGAAGGCCAGATCAGAAAAAGTCACATAAAACATTTGGCTGTTGAATTAGACCCCTCTACGTTAAAACTGCCAACCTTCTCTGTGCGTTTCCTCACCTGCAAATGGGTATGATATAGCGTTCTCTCTATTCGGGTGGCTGTCAGGATTATTTTTAAAAGTCACCCCAGTACTAAGCACAGTGCCAAGGACCTAGTGGTTTGATGCTTCACTGCCACCTCCGCTGGTATTTCTCACACTGTTTTGTAGAAAGAGCTCAAATGAGCTCTAGCCCTCGTTATTATGACCTGGTACATCCATACAGAACCTTGTAGAAGACTCTCCACACTGGAAGAAAGGTGAATGGCAAATTCTCTAACTGTTCTATTAACTTGTCTGCAGTGCTAGTGAACTAAGAATTATGAAATCTCGGGGCGCCTGGGTGGCGCAGTCGGTTAAGCATCCGACTTCAGCCAGGTCACGATCTCACGGTCCGTGAGTTCAAGCCCCGCGTCAGGCTCTGGGCTGATGGCTCGGAGCCTGGAGCCTGTTTCCGATTCTGTGTCTCCCTCTCTCTCTGCCCCTCCCCCGTTCATGCTCTGTCTCTGTCTGTCCCATAAATAAATAAAAACGTTGAAAAAAAAAAAATTAAAAAAAAAAAAGAATTATGAAATCTCAGGGAAACCAAATCCCCCTACCCCCCCCCCGAAAACAGGTAATAATACACATTATTGCTATGGCAATTAGCACAATCACGTGACATTCAGACCAGCTATCCTATGACACTAACTCATCAAATTTCCCTCTGCGGTTGAAAACATCAAAGCCACTTTTAATTGAAAAATATAAAAATAGTCTGCTCCTCCAAACAATAACAACGAATGAGATTTGCTGCTATTGGTGAATTGCCAGGGGGTAAATAATGAGGTATACATCAAGAAATTTTCCACAAAGAGTAACACATAAAAACAAAAACTCTGAGCAATGACATATTCCTGTTTAAAATCAGATTACCAGCAGTGGCAAAATCAAAACAGCGTGGAGGTCCCATCATATAAGCTTCTTACTTGAGTGAATTAAACTCTACCTGCCAAAGGGAGGGAAGAAGTGAAAGAAAAATAATTTAAATAGCGCCGCTGCTCCACATTATGAGAGAGTGAGCCTGAGCTGGGAGACCCAAATCTGCTGTTCCCTCAGTAAGTCCCAAGTCCCATGCACCGTTTCTCACCGCCCTTCTAGTGATACATTTCAGGACGTACTTTCCATTCCGTGGAGCCCCTAAATATAATATTTTCCCTGATGCTCAGTAACAGACGGTACCTTTTTCAACCACGGAAGAGTAACTAGCTGAGGGAGGCTTACTGAGAAATGGAGGTATTCCCCAACGTGACAGGTAAGTACCACTTTGCGCCCTGTATTTCGGGATGACTCCAGGAATAATCTCCACTCATGATTCCAGCTAAACAGCATTTCTCCCACAGCACCGATTTCCCATCAAGAATCTATGCTCCAACTGATTGTGTTCCCACTTGGCACCATTAATGGCGACCTGAGTCCAACATCAAAGTACTACACAGTCAAGTTGCATTTTCCCACCGTCCTCAGGCCATATGGCATTCCACAAAGACAAATTAACTGTCAACACACTTTTCATCACAGCCCTTTGGAATTATTCTCACCTGGTGGCACCTCTTTTGCACCTACTACGATGACTTCCCCATTGGGTTCAAAGATCCCTTCCTCTCGAGAAAGCGTCCTGGAGTTCCCCACGGGGCAGACTGGGAATGTGAAGGAGAATAAAAATAAGAAGACAGCCACCGGCTATCTGCTATCGGGATATGCCAGGCTGTGTGCAAAGGCAGTTTCCTTGCCTTTTCTGGCTGAATCTTCCTGGGAGAGCTCCACGGGGAGGAACTTTCATGGTCTTCATTTCACACATGAGCAAAGTGCAGAGTAGGGAGGAGAGGGACACAGCCAGCACCCCTTGCTCAGGCAAGTGGTAGAATCAGCTTCAAGGCACAGCTCATCCTGGCTCTGGGCTCTCCTGCCTCAGCTCTCCCTCTCACCTCTGCACCAATGACATCGTTCTCACCGCCACTAAAGCGCAAACTCCCTGCGGACAGACCTTGTCTGTCCCACCCATCCTCAGCAACCTGACCGCTTCTCGACCTGTGCCAGCTGACTAAGAAATGAGTATGCAGTGCCTGCTGTCTGGAAGAGGCCAGCTATCCAATCAATAATCAATCAACCTGGCACTGCCTCTCCAAATGAGAAATAAATGATGGAAATCCATATGTATCACACACCCTCTTGTCTTCTTAAACAGAGTACAGCTGACCCTTGAACAACACAGGTTTGAACTGTGCAGGTCCACTTACACAGGGTTTTTTTTTTTTTTTTCAATAAATACAGTACGGCACTGTAAATGTATCTTCTCTCCCCTGTGCTTTTTGCGGATGGGAGAGGGGCAGAGGGAGAGGGAAGAGAGAGAACCCCAAGCAGGCTCCATCTCACAACCATGAGATCATGACCTGAGCCCAAATCAAGAGTCGGGCGCTTAACAGACTGAGCCACCCAAGCACCCCTGCCCTGTGATTTTCTTGGTAACATTTTCTTTTCTCTAGCTTACTTTGTTGTACGAAGACAATATACAATACATATAACAGACAAAACATGTCCTGATCGGCTGTTTCTGTCATCAGTAAGGCTTGCAGTCAACAGTAGGCTATTAGTAGTTCAGTTTATAGGCATGTTTTCAAACTAAAAGAGGGGAGAGGGTCAGTGCCTCTATTACCCTGCCTTGTTCAAGGGTCCACTGTACTCTAAGTTTAATAATATTACCCTCACAGGGGCGCCTGGGTGGCTCGGTCGGTTAAGCGTCCAACTTCAGCTCAGGTCACGATCTCACAGTACATGAGTTCGAGCCCCACATCGGGCTCTGTGCTATCAGCTCAGAGCCTGGAGCCTGCTTCAGGTTCTGTGTCTCCCTCTCTCTCTGCCTCTTCCCTGCTTGTGCTCTGTCTCTCTCTCTCTCTCTCTCTCAAAAATAAACAAACGTTAAAAAAATTTTAATAACAATAATATTACCCTTATCATCACTGAATCTTGTGGCCATGCCCACTCATATTACTAGCAGCCACTCACATTACATACCGGGCTGAATTACATTTCCCAGGCCTTCTGCACTCCTGTTAGAAACCGGGCACCTAAGTCTCCCGGGGGGGGGGGGGGGGGGGTACAGAGGTGTTTAAACACGTGCTTCTTCTTTTTCCAGGGTCTCTGATCTCCACCCTGACTGCCCCATTCCCTCCAACTTTCTGCTTCTCTGCTGCAGCATGGGAAGCCAGAAGAGCTATATTTACTGGACCAAAGTCTTTAAAACACGAATAAGGAGACTCTCCTCTGAGAAAAACATTGAAGCATGCTTTGCGGGACCTCTATTTTCTTGACTTGTTCAGATTTCTTTTTCCTGTGGTTTGCCTCTTGGTACAGAGCTGCGGTTTGGATAATTACTGTTTCCTGATCAGTCAAATCCAGAAAAAGAGAAAGGCTCCCTAGACTTAAGATTCCCTTGCTTTCAAACTTCCATATGAATTCAGAGTCAGAGGGCCCATCCATAGTCTGAAATTTTCTGCCCTGGACAATAGGACGCAGAGAGTGAAAGCAAATCCTATCTGCACGTCCTACCAGGGGGACCTCGGAGCAGGGATTTTCTAAGTACAGCCTGAGCCTTGCATTTGAGGAAGTCATCGGCACCATTGGCAAACGCATTGCCTTCCTTTCCTTCCCCCCATTGTTTGCAGAATGGTGTCTCCTCCGACTGGTAAGGACGGTTCCAGGCCCCAGGCTCTGTAATTACCCTGGGGGAGGGGGAGGGGCTGGTTTTATCACAGGAAAGGACTCTCCTGGACTGCTTTCCAGGAGGCCTCCTAAACCCCTTCTCTCTCTGGAAGAAAGAAGAGGGAGAAAGACCATCATCCTACTTCCTTTTTTTCTATATCCCCACCGCAAGTTTCGGATTTTCTAAACCGAAACTGAAGATTTGCATTATTCAGCTCTTGCCCGAAGCCTATTCCCTTTTTAATGATGACCCTGGAAGGTGCCCACAACTGTGTCAAAGACCATCTGGCAACAATACAGCGGGACAGTTCTTAGGAAACCAGCCTCTGGCTAGTTCCCCATGAGGCTGGTCACAGTAAGAGATGAGATCTGGGTTCAAGTCCAGATTCTCCTTCTAAGTCACCGTGTGCCCTTGAGTAGACTTAACACCTGCACTTCCCTCCCACCACCTGCAGGTCTATGGTGAGGTCCCGTTAGTGTAATTGTGTATGTTCTCATACTTAACGTATAAAATACATAATGATTCTAGATGGATGGTCTGCAAGGACCTCCCCTGTTAACACTCTGGTCTGTCTGAGAGCAGCGGGAGCACAGGCACGGGCTGGGGCGAGGGGGTGGGGGGGGAAGGGGGGCATTCTCACTCTCGGCTTTTACGCACCTACATCATTTAAGCTTTTCCTGCGGTGATTACTTCCGAAGTTTTTCAAGAGAAGGTTTTTGGGTTTTTGTTTTGTTTTGGTTTTTATTGGGTTTTTGATTTTGACAACGAAGAGCGGCAAATCCTAATCCTGTTTTGCTACTACGAGGGTCAGTATGGTATCGTGGCTAAAAACATCAGGATTCTGGAGCTCATCTGCCTGGGTGAAAATCCCAGCTTTCCATCTGGCAGATATGTGGCCTCAGGAGTATCCTTTAGCCATCGTGCCTCAGCTCTCCCGGCTTTGTAACAGGGGTGAGAGCAGCACAGGGGGCGGCAAGAGTACAAGGCAGCACTCTACGGTTCTCGGACACAGTCCATCCCCCCAGTGAGTGCTACCTGGGTGTCTGCCCTTGTCACCGCTCCTCAGTAAGACAAGGCAGGAAAGCGCTTTGTAATCTGTAATGCACTATACAAATAGGTCACAGCATCACAGAAAGACATTCGCTTAGAAAAGGTTTAAACTCTACCAGAAGATAAACAGTTTACCAACAGGAAAAACACGTGCAGCTGTAGGAGAACTTGAAATGCAAATCTGTGGGGCGCCTGGGTGGCGCAGTCGGTTAAGCGTCCG